TGTAGTCTTCATTCCCAGCATTAAAACAAATCAGCTAGACATCGTGATATTCACTAAAAAAAACTACATTTGTACACGCTTGCAGGTATTCATACAGGTCCAAGCATTTCAAGTAAACCAAAGAAACTATTAATAAGGTTAATTTAGCTGCAATAAGAGCCTAACAAGGCTTTAACAGAGGTAAACTGTATTTAATTTGCGATTGAATCCTACATCAGAAAACCTCTACATCAGAAACATGTACTGCCTGGGTGTTTGTCAGCTCTGAAAGATACTGCATGAAAGATTCTTTGTTGCAATATAAAAGCCTAAGGCTTTTACAGAGGTAAATAAGTAAACTGTATTTGAGATCAAATCCTACATCAGAAAACATCTGCATCAGAAACATCTACTGTCTGGGTGTTTGTCAGCTATGAAAAATGCTGCATGAAAGATTCTTTGTTGCAATAAAAGCCTAAGCCCTTTACAGAGGTAAATAAGTAAACTCTGAATTGAGATCATTCCTTTATCAGAAAACATCTACAGAAGAAAACAAGAAAAAACTCTGTTGTTCAAGCTGACTCTAAGGTCCCTTGCGATATAAACAACTTTACTTCAGTTTTATTCCAGAGCACAGTGTTTGAGATAGTTATCTTGCTGCTCTGTTAATAATTATTGTTTGTATCAGTATTAAGTGGTTGTACTTTGTTGTTTTTGTTTTCGTTTTTGTGGTTATTTTCCTTTCATTTAACAATTATTTGCCGAAGGCTCAGTTAATATTGTTGAATAATCCCATCGACTTCGTCTCGGGGATTATTCAACAATATTAACTGAGCATGAGGTGAATAATTGTTTTAGTATATTCACACAAGCGAGCATTGTTTATCTCCAATGTTCTTTGCCTTGTTAACTTGCTGGCACGTACAATTTTCGAAAATATTTGCCTTCCTGTTTTCTCCATAAGTTAACTTCTATTTATAGGCAAAATTGGTCTTGCAAGAAAATCCCGAAATCACAAAACAGTGACAAAGTGACCTCGTTTTCCTCTGTAGTGGTAAACAAAGCTGCGAGTGTACAAAAAGTCAGCTACAGTAAACCACTTCACAATAAATCACTCTGTTTAAACACCATGAAGTCTTTTCGTGCCTTCAAAGTCATCAGCACTTAGATATTCATGTATTTTCAAAAAGGCTTTACTATGAAACTTTGGCAAAACACCCAGTTCACGACAGCGATTTTGTTCTGCTTTACATTCACCGCCTAGCGCGGTGAATATAACTTCATAGTCCGGGATAGCTAACCAATCAGATTACTTGAATTACCAAGATCACTGAGTGTGTATACACTAATTTCTGTTATTCAAAGCTTTACGCAGCATGTCAATGAAGTATATCTTTGAGTGTCAGATTGTTGTAAATGTGTTGATAAATTTTTCCCACCAAATTAGTAAGTGGAAACGTTAATCAATATAAATAATGTGAATAATGGGAATGGGAATAATGTAAGTAGGGAATTCGAATTTAATCAGGGTAAATTTCAGTGAAATTTTGATCGACTTGAAAAAAGCCGAGAATGTGAATGTTTTTAAGCATGGTCTACTAGTAGTGAACATAAGTTTTATACCTGTAGTTGTAATATAATAATTGTAGTTAAACATTGTGACTGAAAAGCTGAGATTGAGAGTTACAATAAACGTATGCATGTATGTATCAAGGGAAAGCAAATTTAGTTCGAGTTAGCAGGCAATTCACACAAATAACGTTTATTTTTTAATAAAAGTCAATTTACCTTCTTTTGATGTAGCATTCCTCATCTTTTATTTACGTTTTTACCCCATTTCTGCTGATCTTGACAATTTGACACAGTGGAAACTCTGTCGACAGTAAATTGTTGAGAATGGCAGAAATATTGGGGCAAAAATGTAAATAAAAGATGAGGAATGCAACACTGAAAGAAGGTAAGTTAACTTTTATTCAAAAATAAACGTTACATGTTTTTCATTTTTTTAAAAAATAAAATCAGTTGCGATCCTATACAAACTTTTGTAATTTTTTAACCGATCATTGTAACACAACACCTTACTTTTTTCCTAAAAATAAGCCATTTGTTCTTAAGTTAACTGAATGACTTTAAATTTTTTGAAATTATTGAGAATTCCTAGGAATCCAATAAATTCTCATTGGTGTTTAAGCAATTCGCAATAATTCCCATAAATTCCAAAGACAGTTTCCTTAAGTTTAACTTGGAATTATTGGGAGGAGTTCCCAAAAATTCCCACTGGTGTTTCCACCCATTCTCAAGTATCCCCAGAAATTTCATTTTTTATTGTCTTTGTTCATTTGCATATGTCTTGGAATAAATTGGAATTCCTAGGAATTCTTAGAACTCTGGGAATTCATTTCGCAAAGGTGTCACATTTCGCACTGTCATGCACACTATATCTATGATTCATGTTTGGCCTGTGAACACTTATGAACACTTTTGGCCTGTGAACACGAATCAGACTATTCACAAACTGCATAAGAAACTATACCCAATCAAAAACCCCTACATATATGTTCCTGCGACTCTGCTAGATTCAAACACAATGTTTTGCGCTAATTCGCACAGGAGTGTCTGCATCGTAGGCTACATGCAGTCACCTAAAACAAGCAAAAGTTAGGTGCTAGGGGCCAGTGGGCACTTTTTTTTAAAATTGGTACATAAATGTTAAGTTTTGGTCATATTCTTTATTGTAGTAGTCAACAGATCAACCTGCTAACACCAAGTTAAGACATTTGGAGTTCCTAATTCTAAAACAACGTGGAGATTCTGCATAAAGTAGTGAGGTTTAATCCTCCTTCTCCTCCTCATCTTTCCTTCTCCTCCTCCTCCTCCTTCCTCCTTCGATCTTCTCCTTCTCTTTTTCCTCCTCTGATCCTCCTGCTCATCCTCATCCTTTCTCCTACTCCCTCCTTCTTCTTTTCCTTTTTCTTCTCCTCACTCTTCTTCTCCTCCGCCTCCTTATACTTCCTTCTCCTTCTCTTCCTGCTGCTCCTACTCCTTCTTCTTCCCCTTCCCTTCCTCCTCCTCCTCCTTCCTTCTCCTTCACCCTCTCCCCGCTAGGCTAGTTATCTCTCTTTTATAATTTTTGCCATTAATTCAATTTTTTTTTGTTCAACTCTCAACTTTCCTTTTACCGTCCTGACCCAAAGCATGTAAGACTCTGCCTCCTGATAAAACTAAAACTTAACCTTACAGACAGAAAATAGTAAAGCGCAGTGCTTTTAAATAAAAAATAGCTTGCATACATTTAAACATTAGCTGTAACAATTGTGTCCTGTGTCAAGACTAGTGTAGTTTTTGTATGTATTTTTATCGCCTTTTATTATTACATAACCATTTTTAGCATTTTTTTATGTTAGATGTCATTGGGCAATAGTTTTTAATGTCATTTTTGTTAATTTAACTGGGAAATAGTTTTTTGACTTTATATGTTTTTTTTAAAATTGGTTTTTAATGTCACCAGGCAAAAGCTTATTTTAATATTGATGTTGTAGATGTGATATGCAGTTGAGTATATAATTTTTTTTTTATCATATAGTGACTCCAATTTATTAGTGTGTAAACACTACAACGACTGACACTTTCATAAAGTTACTTACTTTACCTCCCAACCCCCCATCCCCTGTAAGACTCAAACAAACATTAAATTTGCTTCTTTACAAGAACATTAATGCCTCTACAAGAAAAGATTTTCCAAATAAAATAACATTTAAGCTGTTCTTTAACAACAAAAGTACACTGTACCAAGCATTACTGATGGGGGAAAATGCAATGTTTCTTCTCTATATCTAGAAAAACTAGTCATTTTGTTAAATTACTGTAAATCCTCTATTAAGCCTCCCAAGAGTTTATTTTTCAACTAGCAGTTTTAGCCCTTTCACTGCCAAATGTAGCTTCAGGCAAATTTCGACCAGATTTCCAAATTTCACTTTCTAAAATGTTGAAAAAATAATAGCACCATGTGTAAGTACAGGCAGAGAGCTTTCATTTGAATGGTCACATCATAGGATTTCATCCACAAACTCAAAAGTTAGAACTACATACTAAATAAATAGTACCATGTGAAAGTACTGCTGAAGAGGTTTCATTTGAATGGTCACATCATAGGATTTCGTCCGTGGACTTGAAAGTTAGGGTCACCCTGCAAAACTCCATCAAGCACTCTGGCAGTGAAAGGGTTAAAGGGGGGGTTAGTAGAGAGAGAGAGGGGGGCTAATTTAATTTAGTCGTGAAGTGGGCTGCCAGTACTGCTTTTCCAAACAAAGAGGAGATGGGATCAATTCGTCATAAAGAACTACTGTTCTCAGATAAGAACAAGGTCATGCAACTGAAATACAAAAGCAAATCTGAACTTCCAGTACTTGCATAAAATATTACACGTCAGTTTATTTACAGTAGCTAAGGCTTGGCAAGGACTGAAAGTTCTTTTTAGCTTGTATCTTTTCTTGTGGATTTCCCCCTCCATTTTTTTTTTTGGGGGGGGAGTTGAGGGAAATAAGATTATGTTACCGTACTTAGTCCACCATAAAGTGGATTATGAAGGTAACTAATCTTCCTTTAAACCATCGTACTTGTAGTCTGCTACACAGTCGTTTTAAGTGCACTGAAAACGGCTGTGTTGTTGACTATTGTACTTGTTAATCAGATTTATTCTTGATGCAGAGCAGTGGAATATGCATTGACACCATCAGCATGTGATTCGAACTGTAACTGTAGTGCTTGGTGTTCTTTTAAGTTTAAAACGGTTACTCCGCCAACTGTATGATAATTTCTGTACATTGCTTGTTTTACCAGGATGATATAAAATGGTCCTATGTAAACCTTAGCCCGAGTAATGTTCTTAATACATGTATGCTAGTAAGTTTTTGCTTCCACATTCTTAGAAAAACGTTATAAAAATCGATCTATAGTGCAAGGCTAAATTGTGTTATACTTTTTCTTTTTATGTCTCCAGTGCAATTTAGCCGAAAACTGACATGTCAGAAGCTTCAAAGAAGGCGTGTAGCTGTAATTTAAAGGACAGCAATGCTGGCCCACCACAGCTGGCTGTTGGTCTTCCATCCATAAAAGATGTTACAACAACATTGAAACAGCCTGATCTACCCGTTGATGTTCTACTGTTAACCGTTAAGGACTGTGAGTTCTTATCCTGTTACAATGAGCTAAAAGATCCCTACAGATATTATTACAAGGATGTTGGTTACGTTTACTTCAACAACGTTCAAAGTCATGAAGAGAAAGTAAAAGCTGCTCTGCTAAGATGCAATGAAGGTTCCATTGGTCCAAGCAGCTCTCTGATTACGGTCAAGGATGCCGCCCTTATTTTACAACCCAAGGCCGTGATATCTGTTGGGGCATGCAGTGGTCTCAATGCTGATAAAACCAAGTTAGGAGACGTTGTTGTATCAGCCAAACTAACAACATATGCATCCAAAGTGGTGACAAGCGACCAAGAGCAGTCAGCTGGCATGAGTAGTCATGTGAGTAGGCTTTTCTCAAAAATAATCTCGAACTGCGCTGATGGATGGCAGGCACCTTTAAAGAACCCAGAAGATCATCAGATCAAAGTTCACTGCAATGGCGAGTTCTTAAGTGGCCCAGAGGAGATCAGAGCTCAAAGGCGTCGAAAGGAACTTGTCGACCGCCACCCCCTCGCGGCAGGAGTAGAGATGGAGGGCGAAGGTGAGTGCATGTCACGCTAGCTTTGAACAATAGGGTTCTTATACATCTATTTCAATTACCTTTGTCGTATAAAGGCTTCAAGCCCACGCCTAGGCTACGAGCAAGCTCTCCTTTTAGGGGATATCGTGAAAAGTAGACGCGTGAGAGGCACGCGCGAGAAAAGGGGGCGGCCCCTCGCGACTCGCTTCGCTCACCCAAACAGGAGAGCTTGCTCGTACGTAGGCTAGCCTACGCCACAAGGACACAAAGTTATGTTGGTAGCTTTAGATCCTTCAGTTGTAATTCGGTAAAGGTGCGACTAACAGTACCATAGAGTGCTTTAAAAAGGCGCAGACGTTTACCTTCATGGCTGGGATTGATTAATATTTCAGTATAAAATATCCTGAAGTCCAGTTTCGTGTTCGTTAAGACCACTGAATAAAAGAAGTGAAGACGCAATTTTTACGGGGTTAGCCTCCACCAAAAGGAAATATATTCTTAATTTCCAACGGGAAGAAGACCTGTTTATTACTCTGTTTATTGTGTATTCTCATATTTACACTTACTTGCCGAAATTTGTGAATATTTTACTTATGCCGAGGCCAACGCTGCTTGAATGTGTCGTTAATGTTTGTAAGTTGACGCTGATTGTTAATTCGAAAAATGATTATCAGCCGTTTTGCTTTGCAGTCTCAGGAGGTAGGCTTTTTGACATCTGTTTTGTGATACATGTAGAGCTAAAAGATTTTGAAAGAGTAGAGCAGGCGCCATTTTTTAGAACGAAGGTAGGATGCGCGCGCACGACCGGAGAAATGGCGTGGAGGCCGTCTCCTCTCCGGCCTTCGCGTGTTTTTTTCTCGCATGCTCTAAAAAACGAACCAAAAAAACTATCTGGCGCCAGCCATGCAGGCTATTGAAAGAGCGACGAAAATATTTATTCTGAATACCTACATCGTAATTACTTTAAGGATTAGCGGTTGGATTTATTGGATCATAAGGTGAAAATAGGTGTTTACACACTTGACTTCAATAACTGATATACACTTGGCGCCATTTTCGCGCAACAATTATGGAAGCTTGTAGAGTAAAATTAAACAGGAGGCGCACATGTAATCGCTAAAAAAGGGGGACTATTTGTCTGGAGACGTTCCACACAAACAGCTTTCCATCAAGAGTGCAGAGCTTTATAGCTGCAAACTTACATTTATCTTAACGGAACTTCAACGGAATTTTCGCTTATAACAATAACGTAATTGAATAAAACATATTCATTGTAAGAAAGATTTCAGTTAGTAAATCAAAAGAAACGGCGTGAAAATCAAAATCTGTCGTACTTGGCTGTCGTCGGGGTCTTGCATCTCTTGATTTGGCGGTCCCTGGTCGGGTTACTTGTAGGTTGTAGTCAGAAAGACATTTTTGTGAAAGTTAGTAAAATCGTCAAAAATTACTGGAAAGTAAAGATGTACCCATGCGTTTATAAAGATTTACACATGTGGTTTATACGCAAGGCAATTAATTTTTTATTTTCTTTAATTCGCAAGACTTGATTTCTTAAAAAGAATATACTTCCTAATTGTATTTTATATTTCAGGTGTTTTCACTGCTGCATTTGATTCTCAACTCGAGTGGCTCATTGTTAAAGGGATAGCTGATTTTGCGGATGGTGAGGAAGCAACTGCAGAAAGTTGGGAAGCCTGTGCTAGTGTGATGGCAGCATCTCTTGTCTCACACATTTTAAGTGACCCTAGTGTTTTCCGCACTTGGCCTCATTACTCAGGTATAATTCATGTCAGTTTGGTGTGTGATGATTAGGCGCAGGGGTAACAGGCCGAATTTGCCGTCAGTAAAGGAAGTCTTGAATGTGTATTGAGTGAGGCAGTGCGGAAGCTCAAATCCGAGATCAAAAGGCTTGTCAATATTTTTGTCCGTTTTGATATTCTATCTTCATTGCCAAGCGGCGTGAAATTAAGAGTTAGTTTAAGAAATTGAAATTTAGGGTTTAATTGAGGTTCTGGTTGTACACTTTTTCACACGGACTTTACAATTCCGAAAAGTAAAACTCTGTCAAAAAACTACATACACTCTTCTCTCGTTCTAGATAAAAAACTAAGCAATAAGGGTATTTTAAAGCTCTATTGTCTTTCACACGCGTGTCAATCAAAAATGTCAGTTTTCAGGTGCTTAAGCGACTTATCAGTTCAAATAGTAAGACGATCGACGCTAAATAGAGTGTTTTCACTCACGTGGCCAGCATCTACGCAAATTTATTGGAACAAAAGAAAGCGTTTGCATAAGAAAAGAGTTCAACTCCCACAGGATTGGTTTGGGACACCAACATGGCCGCCGTTTCATTGTTTTGGGACACCAATATGGCCGCCGTGACGTCATGTGAAAACACTCTATAGGCTCGAGGTTCACTTCAGAGTTCAAGGTCCTACAAAACTAGTTCAAATTCAAAAAGTTCCGTAATGTCACGTACGAATTCTGTCACAGTTAGAAAGAAGCACTTGAGAGGATTGGGGTGGTTACCTCAACTTTTAGACGCTCAACTTTAAGTCTAGCACTTTCAGTTGAGAGTTAGACAAACTTAAACGTCGTTTCTGGTCAAAAATTCAGATTATACATTCTTTCCTTAGCTATAAATTGCATATCGACTAAGAGTAAGACAAAAAACGCTAACGATGTCTTTGGCTGATTCTTTCAGTGGATGGTCTCTTTGAGGCTGAGCACGATAGTGCGAGGAAGCTGAAGCTAGCTGAGAACCATGCAGGTAATAAATAAACATTCAATTTTTAAAAAGTTCTTCTTTATTTAAAGCTGACCTATTCCACTCTTTACTTCACTTTGAATTTAATGAGTCGCCTCACCAATGCAATCCGGGAAGTCTTTTGCTCGTGGATTTCGGAATTTTGGGCTTTGGATTCGGGAATTTAACTCTTGGATTCCGGAACTCAGCCCCAGGAATCCGTAATCCCGCAGCAATTGGAATCCGTAATCCAAGTTCAACTGACAAGGAATCCGAAATCCAGTATGTCGAGTCCATAATTCACAGCGTGAATCCAGGATCAAAGACTTTCTTGGATTACCTTATATGGGGCGAAATGAGCAAAACATTCATCATGAGACGCGTACAGCGCCGCACATGCGCCTGACAGAGTTGACTTTAAGTCAGTTTATTTTTGTGTACGTAATCACAGTCTATTAAATGAAGGAAATGTGCTAATAAATTCACCCAACTCAAACGCAAGTATGCTGTTGTCGGCCTACAGCTATTTTGATCAACGTTGCAGCAGGAAAGTCTTTGCGATGAGATCGCAAATAATATGGGTAATTCCATATAAAATTTACCAAATTCTGAAGAAGGTAAAAGTTTGTGACATTTCATATATACTATTCTGTGGCACTGTCAGCCGCGGATGTATGACCAAATTGCAAAGAATTTACATGCAGCTACCCACATGACCTTGCAGTCTTGTGGAGTACGCATGAGACCTTGAAGTCCGACAAGGTTAACTGAAATACAGTCGAACCCCGCTATTTCGAACTCGGTTAATTCGAAGTCCCCGCTATTTCGAAGAAAGATCGAATTCCCTTGGATTTACCCTTATGTTTTCAGTCATTTACTATCAGCTATTTCGAACTCGGTTATTTTGAATTCCCCGCTATTTCGAACTTGTCAAAAAAAGAGTACGTACATAAGAGCACAGCTGGAAACGTATTGCATTTTAATTTGAGCTCGAACAGAACATTCAAAGATTTTTCAATGCAACAGCATCTGCTGATTTATCCGACATATAATTACTGTATTTTTATTTAATCAGTGTCTTTCTTCATACAGTACTGTATTTTATTAAAAAATGATGCATTGTTACCAATTTTGCGCTTCCCCGGTTATTTCGAAACCCCGCTATTTCGAACTTTTTTCCATTTCCCTTGGGACTTCGAAATAGCGGGGTTCAACTGTAATTCGATTTAAGGAGTATCATAGGATGCCCAGGGGGCATGAGCATATAATTACTGTATTTTTATTTAATCAGTGTCTTTCTTCATACAGTACTGTATTTTATTAAAAAATGATGCGTTGTTACCAATTTTGCGCTTCCCCGGTTATTTCGAAACCCCGCTATTTCGAACTTTTTTCCATTTCCCTTGGGACTTCGAAATAGTGGGGTTCAACTGTAGATATACATGATGTGGCCCGCGTCTCAACCAACGATTTTCTTCAACAGGTGCTTCTTGCGATGACCAGATCTCAAGACAAACCAAAAGGGGAATGTATTCTGATTACTTATCTCAGCAACACGAATCCATAACCCAGCAGCATCTTGCAGGTATCTTTGTCTAACAACGCATTGAAATTGTGACACTTTATAAGTCCATAGTCAGTCTGTGGTTCGCATTATGTTAGTACAGCTTTTGAAGAAACCAACAGTAATACCCCTAAAATGCTCAAGATTGTGTGGTTTGGTAAAGTTTTCTGCTTTAATAAAGCTTCTTTTTATTTAGGAAAACCATAGACGCAACACAGCTTCGATTTGCGTTTGTCATGAATACATTCACTCATCAAACAGAGAGTAAATACGGAGATTGATACTGGAGAGAGTGACTAATTTGCGTGTGGGGCCCGCGTGCGACACACGGCGTCCACGGCGCTCTGTGTCTAAGGAGCAGCGTTTAATTTTCTCAAAGAAAAATACTGTTTGGCAGTCTAGGAAAAAATAAATGAGCCGACTACAAGCCATTTCAACATAAAAAATAGACCTTTTCACGTATATTAGCAGTTTTGATTTGGACCATTAGGCTGGAAAGAAGACCTTAAAATCACTTCTTAAGTTGCTAACTTAAAGAGTGATTTGGCGAAAACTAGCCAAGATATAGCTTCAAAAAGACGCGAAATTTTATAGACGTTTCTATGAAAGAGAGCAAGTTCATGCACCCCCCCCACCATACAAAAGTTTGTAAAATTTCGGGATTATGTCACGGTTGAAGAATATCTTCGCTCGCTCTGAACGTATCGCCTTTAAACTAGGTAAGTTTTAAGGCGCTCTCCAGTACTGTGGTGTCGATGGATAATTGCTTACTTAAAATCGTGGAAGGGTCTATTAAGTGCAAATTACATAAAAGACGCAAAGACAAACCTATGTTAGATTTTGTAAATATTTCTTCACATAATTCCTGCTTCTTCTTAATTAGGATTGAGAATCATTATAGTTATCCTAAAAGGTCGTCTATATCGATCTTCAACTCGTTCGTTTTGCAACGTTACAAAAGCATAAAAGCGTATCGTAGACGATGTACAGAGCGTGGACGGCTTGTGTGACAGTATAATAAAACCAAATCGATCTTATTTTTTGGATCTTGTATTTCCCAGGGGTGCCAGCTATCATAGCAAGGATTCGTCAGCTTTACAAACGGCGTGAAGGACGGCTGGTGCCATTTCCATGGTGTGATGACCTTAATTTCAACCTGAATGATATTTTCACCCGACTGAAGATCGTGAACAAAGAAAAAACGCGGGGAACATTAACGGATGATGAAATCACCAACATGACTGCTATCTTTACACCCCAACCTGATTGCCCGAAACCACGGATTCTTTTGATCGAAGGAGAACCTGGCATGGGAAAAACCACCCACTCACAAAAACTGGCGTATGACTGGGCAAATAAACAAGATGAATGGGACTCGTCTTTTCCATCAATTGAAGTGCTGCTCTTGCTTAGATGCAACGATGTTAAATCTGGCATCTGGGAAGCTATTGACGACCAACTTCTTCCTGATGATATTGACGAACAGGCTAAGGAGAATTTTTTCAAATACATCCGAGAAAATCAGGCCAAATGTTTGCTACTGCTTGATGGATTAGATGAGGCAGATTCCTTTAAACTGGACATGTACTACTCGCTCGTTCAGAGTAAACTCCTCCCAGCTTGTCACATTGTCATTACATCTCGCCATGAGGTTGGAAAGAAAGTAAGGCCATACTGTGACGCCCTGTGGGAGATTGTAGGATTTACTAAAGAGGATGCGAGAAGTTTTATCAGAAAGTATTTTAAAGGCAAGGAACACTTGGCTGAGGAGCTGATTAAACGATTGTTACCTTCAGACTATTTTTTTTTGATTACTGGTCATCCACTTGAAACGCTAGGCGAGTTAACAAAAAATCCACTCAACACAGCTCTACTCTGTTGTGTTTTCGAGGACTTCGAAGGTGTTCTTCCAACAAGCAGGACTGAGTTGTACGTTGAAATTGTTGTCTTTGTTTTGAGAAGATATGAAGAAAAAAACAGACTTAAAAGCAGCGATAAAGACTTGATTTCAGGTTATAAGGAAGAACTTTTGCTATTGGGCAGCTTCGCGTTAGAATCCCTCCTTAAAGGAGAGTCGTACTTTGAAAAGGAGGAAGATACCGTCAAGCTTATCAATTTTGGATTCTTGTCTTTTCAACAAGGTGGCGCCAAGCGCAAACCTTGCAAACGCTTTGCATTTTTACACAAAAGCTTTCAGGAGTTTTTTGCTGGCCTTTTCCTTGCGTTTCAAAGTATCAGCAAAGAAAGAGACTTAACCTCAGTTGTAGACGATAAGAGATACTTGGATAAACTGAGACAGGTCTTTTTGTTCATGAGTGGCATCATAGCCTTGCGGAGTGAGGAAACTGCAATGTCGTTCTTTATTGTTATTGCTAAAAAAATCAACTCTGCCGAAGACCGTAAATCATATATGAGATTAGCTTGTGAGTGTTTGTTGGAATGTTCAAGTGTCCAGGAAAGCCTTGAAACTCGCTTAGTTTCTAGTTTAGGTAAGCACCTTGACATGTCGTCCCTGACTGAAGTGAATTTTGGCGGAACACGCATACACGATGCTGGTGCTGCTGCGATTTCCATGCCCCTCACAGTAAACTCCTCCGTGACTAGTTTAAATTTAGGTTATAACAGAATTGGCGAGGCCGGCGCTTCTTCTCTTTCTCAAGCCCTAACAACAAACACCTCCCTGACTAGTTTGAATTTAGATTATAACACAATTGGCGAGGCCGGTGCTTCTTCTCTTTCTCAAGCCCTCACAGTAAACTCCTCCCTGACTAGTTTAATTTTAGGTCATAACAGAATTGGCGAGGCCGGCGTTTCTTCTCTTTCTCAAGCCCTAACAACAAACACCTCCCTGACTAGCTTGTATTTAGTTGATAACAGTATTGGCGACGCCGGCGCTTCTTCTCTTTCTCAAGCCCTCACAGTAAACTCCTCCCTGACTAGGTTGGATTTAGGTAATAACAGTATTGGCGACGCCGGCGCTTCTTCTCTTTCTCAAGCCCTTACAGCAAACTCTTCCCTGACTAGTTTGGATTTAGGTAATAACAGAATTGGCGAGGCCGGCGCTTCTTCTCTTTCTCAAGCCCTAACAACAAACTCCTCCCTGACTATCTTGGGTTTAAGTGGTAACAGTATTGGCGAGGCCGGTGTTTCTTCTCTTTCTCAAGCCCTCACAGTGAATTCCTCCCTGACTAGTTTGTATTTATCTGGTAACAGTATTGGCGACGCCGGCGCTTGTTCTCTTTCTCAAGCCCTCGCAGTAAACTCCTCCCTGACTAGTTTAAATTTAGGTTATAACAGAATTGGCAAGGCCGGCGCTTCTTCTCTTTCTCAAGCCCTAACAACAAACACCTCCCTGACTAACTTGTATTTAGATGGTAACAGTATTGGCGACGCCGGCGCTTCTTCTCTTTCTCAAGCCCTTACAGCAAACTCTTCCCTGACTAGGTTGGAGTTAGGTTATAACAGAATTGGCGAGGCCGGCGCTTCTTCTCTTTCTCAAGCCCTAACAACAAACTCCTCCCTGACTATCTTGGGTTTAGGTGGTAACAGTATTGGCGAGGCCGGTGTTTCTTCTCTTTCTCAAGCCCTCACAGCAAACTCCTCCCTCAAGGTTCTCTTCATTTGAGTGCCAGCAGTATAGGCGACGCTGGGGTTTGTCTTCCCAAGGCCCTCACAGCAAACTCCTTCCTTATATGATGTGTACTGTTTCGCCCGGTGACGATGGGGAACGTGTATTTTGAGATAAGGCTTTCAAATAAGCGAAATCCCGAGAAACGTGCCCCGAGCCAAGCGACTGTGTGATAAGCCGTACTTGTTAACCAGATCGTTTCGTGTCGTTTGAATATAGTCGCCTCGGTCCTACTTACTTGATTACATCTTAAAACGATACGAAACGGTTCAGTATAAATGTAATTTAGTACGTTTTTCTATGAGTTCTAAACTATGTTACTGTTAGTTTCAGTAACAGTATAATCACGTTGTTTAATAGCATTTCTACTTGTTGTTTACCAGTAGCTCAATAAAAGCTACTGCTGTATGTTGAGACGTGTCCGTTCCACAAAGTTAAGCCCTGTCGGACGCGGTTAGTTTTGGATGGATGACCAACGCGGAATCCCCTCTGACCTCTTTTTCAGTGCTGATGTTTTGCGATTGTTTGATTTCCTTTTTCTTAACTTTCAGAACTTCCATAACTTTCAAAATAACTGTCAAAAATTGTTTTCAATCGATACATCTATCAGAAATGCAAACAGCTTCTATTGATGGGCATTTTATTTTATCGAGGAGTCTGCGCGAGGCTCTTTGTTACCGCAGAAGCTCAGATAGGCTTCTGATTACCATACACAATATATATTTTATTTACATAAATTCATCTTTAAAAAGGCAGGTGCTAAAATTAATTTATTAAAAGAAAAAATAATAATTTAAGAATATAATCCTCGTTACGCTGTCCACCATTGCGCCGTTTTAATAATAACAACCGATTTTTGATTTTAAGATTTTTTCTTCTTCACTGTGATTCTTATTTGTGTATAAGGAAAACGTTTTTTAATGATATAATCTCGAAATATCCCATCGTTTATACTCTGAATGAACAAGATAAAATATTATTCCTTTTTAATAACGTAGATAATTTTATTTGTAAAAAATCAGTTATTTTGTTTTCGAATCTTTCAAGAAAACGAAACAAGAGTTAGCATGTTGTAACTGATTATTAATTATAATTTATTATATATTTTGTAATTCATTGCTGTATTTTTCTATTGTCATCCTTTATTTTTCTTCTATGCAATTCAATCTATGTAAATATGGCAATTCAAAAAAAGTTGTTGTTGTTGTTTATTAATTAATAAATAGGTAATATTTTCGTACGAATTGCTCGTCGTTATTATTTCTAGATTTGATATCCATCTTCTATTTTCACTAGACTTAATTGTACCAAGGGGATGAGAGGGAAAAAACCTTCGTCTCTGGCCTGATCCTTGAGGTGAATTGTGACACTTTATAAGTCTATAGTCAGTCTATGGTTCGCATTATGTTAGTACAGCTTTTGAAGAAACCAACAGTAATACCCCTAAAATGCTCAAGATTGTGCGGTGTGGTAAAGTTTTCTGCTTTAATAAAGCTTCTTTTTATTTAGGAAAAACCATAGACTCAAAACAGCTTTGATTTACGTTTGTCATGAATACATTCACTCATCAAACAGAGAGTGAAAACGGAGAGTGATACTGGAGAGAGTGACTAATTTTCGTGTGGGGCTCGCGTGCGACACACGGCGTCCACGGCGCTCTGCGTCAGCTTGCGTCTAAGGAGGAGGGTTTAATTTTCTCAAAGAAAAATACTGTTTGGCGGTCTAGGAAAAAATAAATGAGCCGACTACAAGCCATTTCAACATAAAAAATAGACCTTTTCACGTATATTAGCAGTTTTGATTTGGACCATTAGGCTGGAAAGAAGACCTTAAAATCACTTCTTAAGTTACTTAAAATCGTGGAAGGGTCTATTAAGTGCAAACTACATAAAAGACGGAAAGACAAACCTATGTTAGGTTTTGTAAATATTTCTTCACATAATTCATCCTTCTTCTTAATTAGGATTGAGAATCATTATAGATATCCCAAAAGGTCGTCTATATCGATCTTCAACTCGTTCGTTTTGCAACGTTACAAAAGCATAAAAGCGTATCGTAGACGATATACATGGCGTGGACGGCTTGTATGACAGTATAATAAAACCAAATCGAACTTATCTTTTGGATCTTGTATTTCCCAGGGGTGCCAGCTATCATAGCAAGGATTCGTCAGCTTTACAAACGTCGTGAAGGACAACTGGTGCCATTTCCATGGTGTGATGACCTTAATTTCAACCTGAATGACATTTTCACCCGACTGAAGATCGTGAAAAAAGAAAAAACGCGGGGAACATTGACGGATGATGAAATCACCAACATGACTGCTATCTTTAGACCCCAACCTGATTGCCCGAAGCCACGGATTCTTTTGATCGAAGGAGAACCTGGCATGGGAAAAACCACCCACTCACAAAAACTGGCGTATGACTGGGCAAATAAACAAGATGAATGGGACTCGTCTTTTCCATGCATTGAAGTGCTGCTCTTGCTTAGATGCAACGATGTTAAATCTGGCATCTGGGAAGCTATTGACGACCAACTTCTTCCAGATGATATTGACGAACAGGCTAAGGAGAATTTTTTCAAATACATCCGAGAAAATCAGGCCAAATGTTTGCTACTGCTTGATGGATTAGATGAGGCAGATTCCTTTAAGCTGGACATGTACTACTCGCTCGTTCAGAGTAAACTCCTCCCAGCTTGTCACATTGTCATTACATCTCGCCATGAGGTTGGAAAGAAAGTAAGGCCATACTGTGACGCCCTGTGGGAGATTGTAGGATTTACTAAAGAGGATGCGAAAAGTTTTATCAGAAAGTATTTTAAAGGCAAGGAACACTTGGCTGAGAAGCTGATTGAACGATTGAAACTTCCAGAGTATGATGATGATCCACTTACAACGCTAGGCGAGTTAACAAAAAATCCACTCAACACAGCTCTACTCTGTTGTGTTTTCGAGGACTTCGAAGGTGTTCTTCCAACAAGCAGGACTGAGTTGTACGTTGAAATTGTTGTCTTTGTTTTGAGAAGATATGAAGAAAAAAACAGACTTAAAAGCAGCGATAAAGACTTGATTTCAGGTTATAAGGAAGAACTTTTGCTTTTGGGCAGCTTCGCGTTAGAATCCCTCCTTAAAGGAGAGTCGTACTTTGAAAAGGAGGAAGATACCGTCAAGCTTATCAATTTTGGATTCTTGTCTTTTCAACAAGGTGGCGCCAAGCGCAAACCTTGTAAGCGCTTTGCATTTTTACACAAAAGCTTTCAGGAGTTTTTTGCTGGCCTTTTCCTTGCGTTTCAAAGTATCAGCAAAGAAAGAGACTTAACCTCAGTTGTAGACGATAAGAGATACTTGGGTAAACTGAGACAGGTCTTTTTGTTCATGAGTGGCATCATAGCCTTGCGGAGTGAGGAAACTGCAATGTCGTTCTTTATTGTTATTGCTAAAAAAATCAACTCTGCCGAAGACCGTAAATCATATATGAGTTTAGCTTGTGAGTGTTTGTTGGAATGTTCAAGTGTCCAGGACAGCCTTGAAACTCGCTTAGTTTCTAGTTTAGGTAAGCACCTTGACATGTCGTCCCTGACTGAAGTGAATTTTGGCGGAACAGGCATACACGATGCTGGTGCTGCTGCGATTTCCATGGCCCTCACAGTAAACTCCTCCCTGACCTAGTTTGGATTTAGGTGATAACAGAATTGGCGACGCCGGTGTTTCTTCTCTTTCTCAGGCCCTCACAGTAAGCTCCTCCCTGACTAGGTTGGATTTAGGTTGTAACAGAATTGGCGACGCCGGTGCTTCTTCTCTTTCTCAAACCCTCACAGCAAACTCCTCCCTGACTAGTTTGGATTTAGGTGATAACAGAATTGGCGACGCCGGTGCTTCTTCTCTTTCTCAGGCCCTCACAGTAAGCTCCTCCCTGACTAGGTTGGATTTAGGTTGTAACAGAATTGGCGACGCCGGTGCTTCTTCTCTTTCTCAAACCCTCACAGCAAACTCCTCCCTGACTAGGTTGGATTTAGGTTATAACAGAATTGGCGACGCCGGCGCTTCTTCTCTTTCTCAAACCCTCACAGCAAACTCCTCCCTGACTAGGTTGGATTTAGGTTATAACAGAATTGGCGACGCCGGCGCTTCTTCTCTTTCTCAAACCCTCACAGCAAACTCCTCCCTGACTAGGTTGGATTTAGGTTATAACAGAATTGGCGAGGCCGCTGCTTCTTCTCTTTCTCAAGCCCTAACAACAAACACCTCCCTTACTAGCTTGTATTTAGGTGGTAACAGTATTGGCGACGCCGGTGCTTCTTCTCTTTCTCAAGCCCTAACAACAAACACCTCCCTGACTATCTTGTATTTAGATGGTAACAGTATTGGCGACGCCGGCGCTTCTTCTCTTTCTCAAGCCCTCACAGCAAACTCCTCCCTCAAGACTCTCTTCTTTTGAGTGCCAGCAGTATAGGCGACGCTGGGGTTTGTCTTCCCAAGGCCCTCACAGCAAACTCCTTTCTTATAGGATGTGTACTGTTTCGCCCGGTGACGATGGGGAACGTGTACTTTGAGATAAGGCTTTCAAATAAGCGAAATCCCGAGAAACGTGCCCCGAGCAAAGCGACTGTGTGATAAGCCGTACTTGTTAACCAGATCGTTTCGTGTCGTTTGAATGTATTCGCCTCGGTGCTACTTACTTGATTACATCTTAAAACGATACGAAACGGTTCAGTATAAATGTAATTTAGTACGTTTTTCGATGAGTTCTAAACTATGTTACTGTTAGTTTCAGTAACAGTATAATCACGTTGTTTAATAGCATTTCTACTTGTTGTTTACCAGTAGCTCAATAAAAGCTACTGCTGTATGTTGAGACGTGTCCGTTCCACAAAGTTAAGCCCTGTCGGACGCGGTTAGTTTTGGATGGATGACCAACGCGGAATCCCCTCTGACCTCTTTTTCAGTGCTGATGTTTTGCGATTGTTTGATTTCCTTTTTCTTAACTTTCAGAACTTCCATAACTTTCAAAATAACTGTCAAAAATTGTTTTCAATCGATACATCTATCAGAAATGCAAACAGCTTCTATTGATGGGCATTTTATTTTATCGAGGAGTCTGCGCGAGGCTCTTTGTTACCGCAGAAGCTCAGATAGGCTTCTGATTACCATACACAATATATATTTTATTTACATAAATTCATCTTTAAAAAGGCAGGTGCTAAAATCAATTTACACCATTGCACCATTGCGCCGTTTTAATAATAACAACCGATTTTTGATTTTAAGATTTTTTCTTCTTCACTGTGATTCTTATTTGTGTATAAGGAAAACGTTTTTTAATGATATAATCTCGAAATATCCCATCTTTTATACTCTGAATGAAGAAGATAAAATATTATTCCTTTTTACAGTCAAACCAGGTCAAGCGTTCCCGTCGCTAACGAACTAATGAATTCATTCACGGAAAAATGATTTCGTTTGTTGATTCAATAATCCATTCATAAAATGAACAATCCAATAGTCATATTTAGCCTTGATTCCATAATCGCATGTTGATTCGATTACTGTTTTTTGAAAAATTACACTTTCCACAAGTTGACCTCAGAATTTTGTTTTTTCCTCTTTTTTTTCTGAGAGTCGAGTGCTGGCGAGTTCTGAAGTTCAAACCTAAACAAACTGTTTCATGTACGCCAGTTTGCTGCCAATAATCAGTGCAACAGACCTAGGCCTGACCTCTTAGAAAACACGACGGTCAAACTGAGGTCAGTGTATGTGCGGTGATTGGTGGATTTCGATCCTCGGCCTTTGTCAGTTTCTTTGCGTTTGCGGTCTGTCTATTCTAGCTGTTATTTTGATTAAAGGCAATGAAAAACGCAATCGTAAACGGCAGGAAAAGGGAAGCAAATACGATTGAACACAACAGACAAGAATAAAGAACAGGTAGATTTTGTTCATAAACCAAATCAACATTTGATTATTGAATCGAGGTACAATTTGACCGTTGGATTATTCATTTTATGAATGGATTATTGAATCAACAAACGAAATCATTTTTCCATTAATGAATTCATTAGTTTGTTAGCGACGGGAACGCTTGACCTGGTTTGACTGTAATAACGTAGATAATTTTATTTGTAAAAAATCGGTTATTTTGTTTTCGAATCTTTCAAGAAAACGAAAGAAGAGTTAGCATGTTGTAACTGATTATTAATTATAATTTATTATATATTTTGTAATTCATTGCTGTATTTTTCTATTACCATCCTTTATTTTTCTTCTATGCAATTCAATCTATGTAAATGGCAATTCAAAAAAAGTTGTTGTTGTTGTTTATTAATTAATAAATAGGTAATATTTTCGTACGAATTCCTGGTCGTTATTATTTCTAGATTTGATATCCATCTTCTATTTTCACTAGACTAAATTGTACCAAGGGGATGAGAGGAAAAAAACCTTCGTCTCTGACCTGATGCTTGAGGTGAATTGGGAGGAGGCTCCACCCAGAGACCCACCCCCTTAGTTTACCCTTTAATATACCATTTTTGACAGAGAAGGTGGGCATTTTATATACCTTCCATTAAAAAGTGGTACCTCTTACACATACCCTCCAACAGAAGTCTTCTTATCATTGCGGATGCGGGCGAGCAAAAGCGAGCTCGCAGACGTATTCTAGGTGGGGTGATCAGCAGCAATTTATAAACTGTATAGCGAGGTTTTCCCACAATCTGTCCACATTCTTGGGATGCCTTTGTTCTACGTACTGATATGCGTGGGATGTGGCCACGAATGCCCTAGTGTTTCACCTGATATCACTGTAATAGCGTGAATGCAGATGCAAGTGATGCAACAATATTTGATCGAATCGAAAACACACGTAATTCAGATACACACGCACTGTTTCACGCACTGTGCTAAATGCGAGACGTTTCCACTCGCCCTGCCGGCAGGAAATCTGTTTACCAAGGAAAGAAATTAGCTGATTTCAGCTTAATGCGAAACGGAGTCTTCGGTAAGATACGAGTGTTGGCAAAGTCTAGAAATCCATGTAAATATTTCAAAGTTAATTCAGGTTAAACTTCAGCGTCTGGTTTTTATATTTTTATACGTTTCCAAGTATGTTCTGTCACTTGCCATCTGCAAGCATCAATAAGCTTAGCTTTAAACTAAGCTTTCTATTTCATGTCAACGACCTTTGGCGATTGAACACGGATTGAATACCCGATTAAATAATAAGACTTCGTGCAGTCATGACTGTCTTTACCTTTCAACGTTATGTCAGGCATTACTTTATTCTTGTATTTCCTGCTTTTTGTGCAAAATACGCGGTAGATATCCGTGATATCTGGCTGCCTGCAAAGGGCAAATTCTTTAGTTATAAATTAAGAGCTCTACTTATTTTGTCGAGCAATAATTGATCGCTTGTTGTAGCCCTGGTGTAGAATAAACATTGTCTTTTTCCTGTTTTACACACAATGCCCTCGACAAGCTCTTGACAGTTCTTGAGTAAGGTTTCACTGAGGGTCGATGAATGAACTAACTAACTAACTTTCTATGACTTTCCTTGTAGATCTCCTCATATGGGGCGTAAGAGGAGGGTGGACACACAAGAATGCGCGCGTCCTCTTACTTCGCGGTCGGTTCTTGTTTGGTTTCCAAAATCTTTTGGGCGCCTGCTACGCAAACTTGCGCATGTATAGGAGCATGCGGCAAATACATCGAGAGATTATTTTAGGAAAGAAGAGAGTGGAAACAGAAAAGAGAGAGCATGCTGAGGCTTTTGTGATGAGGTGCAAAGCAGTAGCAGTTGACAGAGAGCCAGATAGGTGTGGAAACTCCGTGTGAAGGCCTTAAGTTTCATGTGGCACGAGGGGTGACTACCCTCGAAGTAGAAATCATCCATTGTGCTGAACTTTGATGGACAATTCGGCTCGCGCGGCCAAGGTCAAAATACCTCAGTCGGTAAAAATAAAGTGTGCCAAATATTATAACCAAACATATTTGTCAAAAAGCATTATAGTTTGAGCTAATCGGTATAATAGTATTATTAATTCTTGAGGTTGTATAAACGTGACTTGATAAATGAGTCTGAAAGAGTAGTGAAAAGAGGTTGAAAATGAGAGGCTGAACCAGGAAGGCAGATTTATTGATAACGGCCGTATTGTGAAAATACGTGATCCTTACCAAACGGAAATTAATATATAAATTATGCTTGTGATCTTTTGTAATTAAATGCTTTTCATATAACTTCTTATCATTTGGTTTAAGGAAGCGGGACAAGCAAATCAACCGCGAAGAAAGTAGAAATTACAGGTCATTTGTTTCTTTTTTTTTTTTTCTCAAAAATTCTTTTGAAAATGGCTAAATATACATTCTTTAGAAACCTAGTAAAATACATTCCTTGCGGTTTAAGGATCAAATGTCACATTTGTTAGTCGGACATTTTTGTTCAGTTTAGAATCGACAGGGACAGTACCTTTACAGCTTCTCCTGTAGCTACATGCTTTGGGGCAAATGATTGAAAACTTAGAAGACTGCCGGTCTTGACTGAATTGTTATAACACTGACTTGGTTAAGTGTGTTTTCTGATTTATGAAGGATGCACTTTGCTATTGATTTCGATTGCAAGCAACTCTAATTTGAATATCCCTTACTACCTATCATGTAGAAATGCAAAAGATTTAGACTGTAAGTACCATCCGCGTGATACATTTTTAACTTCATAAACACACGATGTGTTAACTGCCTTAGCGATTTCCTTTTTGAGTGCTTTATCCTCTAGTTCATTCGCTTAGCTGTCGCACAAGGTTAAAACTAGTTTACTTCTCACAAATGACCTGGTATTTACACTGACAGTACAATATAACAGGGCCCAGTTGTTCGAAGGCCGATTAGCGCTTAACCCGGGGTTAAATTTAACCGGATTTCTTTTTCTTGTGTTCAAAAGCATTTTCTCGGTTAATTTTTTCTGTTATTTTTAGAGCTTCCAATCATCAACTTGTAGACAAAAAGAATTAAAACTGAAATGCTTTTTAAGCTTTCAAATCTGAATTCAAATCTCGCACTAACCCTGGGTTATCTTAACCCAGCTTTGAACAACTCGGCCCAGATGAATAGCTTTACTTGTTGATAATCACATTCAGTAGCCCTGAGTTAACGAGGCTAATCGAATGCACGACTCGCCAGGCTGGGAGAAGGCTTCATTGGAATTCAAGGTTTACTGTGCAGTGGTTTACGGATCCGCCCAAACCATCCGGGTGGTATCGCAAATATATAGAAAAAGAACAATGGAGGAGGTGTCGGCCAATCAGGAACGACTAACGTCATAAAATCAGATCAAACTGATTGGATAGTTTCTTTTTGTTTGTGTGAGAATTGTTTGTCCAATAATTTGCAATTGAATGAGATGAAACGGGGGACTACGAAGTATCAAGGAATACAAAGTAACCTTCTTGGTAG